CCTCTCGCCACCCGCAGTGCCACGGCCTGCGCGCGCGCCGAGCTCCCCACGCCCCGACCCGAACCTCGCCTCTCCTCCCACAGACGCGGCTCCTCCGCCCGCTGGGCTGCGCTTCTGCACCCGGACAACGGGACCAAAACGAGACTAAACCGGGACTCAGGCGAGCGAGCGAGCGCGCGCGCACGCGCACCAGTCCTCAGCTCCTCACTGCGCAGACGCAGGCAGCCCGGCCTCTCATTTCTCCCCTCACTGCGCAGACGCACGCCGCGGGGGCCTCTCATTTCCCCCTCACTGCGCAGACGCACGTCGCTCTCATGGCATCGCATCGCGCACGTCATATCCGGCCGGCCGAGCTCCCCTCAGAGAACCGCAGGGAGTGGGCTGCCCTTCTGCGCCCCGATTATGCGTTTAGCGTGCGTCCAGTTGGAACATCCAGCGCCACGTGAGTCCCGTGGACTCACGAAATCCCGCCCCCGAAGGGCACGGTCCCGAGATGCAGAGCCGCGGCTGCTTACGTCAGACGTGCGTTCTCCTGAAGCGGAGTTGGTCCTTCAGGCCGCCTCTGTGCGCCTGAGGCTCCCCTCCCGCGTCGCCCCCGCTCCGTTAGGACCCTCGGCCAGGTCGTCCCGCACCTCACCCCACGCTCGGTCATCAGTCCGGGCGACTAACCCACGAGCGGTAATTGCACGTGTATTTGTTTCTCAAAGTTGTTTTTAAAGATCTCAGCGCAGCTTTTGCATCCAGAGTTAGCAATACTGAGCACATTAGTCTAAGAAGTACGTAAGTTTATTGAAATTATAACCTCAGACTTTATTTTTTAAAGGTCTTGAATATTGATACTTTCACCAGTTTCAAAAACCGGTTGCATCCAGTTCCATTCCCATCCCTGACAGGTAACAGTGTTGTCAGTGGCCTGGGCATCTCCAGCATTTATGCAAGCACAAACAAATGCCGGTGTGTACTGTTGCTTTCCTTCTTTCTCATAAAAATGTAGCAGACCTATACATTGTCCTGTACTCCCCTCCCACCGCCACAGCTTACCGAATATCTTAAGAGATCTTTTCCATGCCAAAAAACACGCCCCCCACACCCCTCATAGATAGTATGCCATTGTGGGCATGTCCCACAGTGTGTTTACTGGGGCCTTGCTGATAACACTTAGGTTATTAAGTATCGTTTTTCTCTACAGACAGCGCTGCAGGGAATGCAGCACGGCACTGAATGACCTTACTCATGTGTCCTACTTGTGCAGGTACAACTGGAGGGTGAATGCCCAGAAACGGGAAATACACTGGAGCAACTCCATACAAGTTGAATCACTCAGCACTCACCTGTAACAGTATTTTAAATGTCAGTGTTTATAGTTTCAATTTAGATATTAAAGACATGTTTACTTTAAAGAAATAATTTTTCTTTCTTGGTTTACAATGCATTTTCACATACCTTGTGAGCTTTACAATAGTGGTGAGAGTGGTTTTTTTTCAGTTTTTAAAACTGTAAATAGATTCACTTATGCAATACTCTGCATTTGTGCAAAAATTTTAAGTGTCTGGAATCATTTTGCCTTTTCAGAAGAAAATGTTTTGGGAGTTCTGGAATGACCTCACCTTTGGCTGTTGGCCAAGGAAGCAGGCAAAAGCCACCCCCTTTTAGCTTTGAAAAAGTGTGGGAAATAGGGAGAGGAGGCAAGTGGTCAGACACATGCTCCCAGAACCAAGGAGGGATTTAAGTAGATGCAAAGAAAGCAAAAGAAAACAGGCTGTTTTGCTGTAGGCCCCACAGTAAACTGTTGTAAGGAGAAAATGCTGCTGGTGGCCTGCTGCAGCCTGACGTAGCCACGGGAGAATAAAAATTGCAGGACGGTTCAGCCATGAGAGAAAGAACCTGAGTTGACACTCCGGAGACATCTGCGTCACTATCAAAGTCTGAAATGGTCCTAAGTCAGCATTAATTTTAATCAAAAGAATACATTGCACACAGTGTTAAAAACTCAGATATTACGGTAGTTAGGGTTGTTTTTCAGAAACATTTCACTCTTTCCTCTTTCATCTGCAGGAGTGGAGGGTACTGCCCCTTGGCTCTGGGTTTGTCCTTTTGGCTAAAGGAATGTTAACAGATCAAAGCCTTGGAAAGCACTGACCCGACGATTAGGCTTGATCCCTCATACTTTTGCGTGGCTGTAGGAAGAGCTCTCCCCCAGGGAAGGTGCTGCCACGCTCCCAACCTGGGTTTCAAAATGAACACGTGGAACAGAGCTGCTCCCGCTAACCCACACCTGTACCCGGACCAGATCACCGCAGCCAAATGGCAGACTGTAGTACTCAGATTTTGTTACACGGCTATACCTCATTCATACAGTTAAAAAAGGCTCATAATGAAAACCAGCAGCCTTCTCAGTTCCTCATACCCCTCAGCCCTGCTCTTCAGAGGCAAATATTTTCAACTCATTTCACCTGATAATTATCTCAGTATTTTTAAACAATATACTAATACTGTTACTTCTCATTTATTGGTTTTTAGACTTTATATATTGACTTCCTGGCAGGTATTAATTTTCATTTCACAGATGTAGAGATTGAGGTCCAGAGGGGTGAAATGACAGTACAAGGTCCTGCAGAGTCTTGGTCAAATTCAGATATCCTGATGCCAAATTTCACACTACCCACAGCAGACTCTATCAGTATTACTTAATAAGTCAACAGCACTCACGACACTTTCTTAAATTTATAGTTCATACCCATTTCTCATCACACATTTACAGGACAAAGACAAAAAAGCCATTTAACAAAAAACATTGCTCTAGAACTGACAATGAAGACACTTCCTTGTTCAATCTCTTATTTCCAGGTAGAACCACCCCATCCCATCCACCACATTTTTTTATTCAACAATTTATCACTTGACAAGTGTATATGCATTGTGCAAAGCACAAACTAAAAGAATCCAGTTTCTTGCAGCACTTGCAACATTTAATTAAGAAATATTGTTCTGTCCTGTGAAGCTCACAATCCAAGGATGGAGAAACAGTGTTGACAATGTTAGTGAAGGAGTTTATGACATGCAAACATGCCACCTTAGCATATTACTTGAGTTAAAGACATTTGGAAAACAGCAAGTGCAGAAAAGGCACTCTGCTTCCCATTTTTTTATCTTGAAAGTAGAAGATGAAACTCATGTGAGAACAGCCCTCCCTATGCCAGGAGGAAACATTCTCACCACCAGAGAGGGAGTTGAGTCTGCCAGAATTTGTACATAGAGACCTTGCTTGTTAAAATAACTTGTGTTCCTTTAGTCTCCCCACTTATTTTAGTTACTTTTCCACAGTCACCACTCTTTGTTCAACCCAGTATATATAAGCATTTAAGTTTTGCCACGTCTTTGGGTTACTTCCTCATGAACGCTCCCAGGTCACGGTAAGACTTGTATTGAATAAATGTGTGTGCTTTTCTCCAGTTAATCTTTTCAGGTAAATTTAATTATCGGGCCCAGCCAGAGACCCAAAGAAGGCAGAGGTAACGTTTTTGCCTCCCCTCCATTAGCAACAGTCACCCAGGAGGACCTTTCTGATCCTGGTTCCAAAAGCAAATCTCCCCTAGAATTAGCCTGGTCAACAATGAATAGCAAAGAAACTGCTGCCAGGTTATTATTTTTTTTCCCCACGGGTCACTTACATCTTGCATCTCATCTTACTAAATAACACACTTATTTCCTATGAATGTATCCTTTTATTTCATTGAGAGCACACTTACTCGGGCATTTTTTTGTCTTTTGTTTACTTTTTATTGCCTGTGTCCCTTCAATCCCGTGAACTCGAGGAGGGGACCGTCCTGCCTTGGTCACCGCTGAACCCCTAGCATCTGTTGCAGACCCTGGCACACAACAGGCGCTCAATACATGCCTGCTAAATATTCTAATTTCACCCTATGACATTCCTTCTTGTCTTTGACTATGGCTATAGATTCATACTTTACATGTGTAGAACACTATAGTTCACGGTGTGACTTCAACCAAATTCTTATTCCTATTTTCATTTTATTTCCCAAATTCCTCTCCCCAGATTATGCGCAGCGTTAACAGTCCCACCTATTTTCTATTCAAGTGGGGGAGGGGTTAAGCTGCAGTTGCTGGGCATAAGGAAGCCCCTTGGGCCATTAAATAAACGTGTTTCCCAACATCCACTAACGGCTGCGTTCAGGACATTTACCGAGGTCCGGCAAAAACGGCGAATTTCCCCTCCGGAGCCCCCGAAAGGTTAGGTCGTCGAGACCGGTGAAGAGTGGGCGAGCCCTGACATTTGAGGCAGCGCCGGCGCAAGGGGGAAATTCTGACGCCGCGGCCTGCGAGGGGCCCGGGGAGCGACCTCGCCTCTGCTCCCACCTCGTGTGAAATGCCCCCCAGCGTGGGCTCCGGAGCTCAACTCCCACGGCCCGCCGCGCGCCTGAGGTGGGCGGGCCCACCCGCAGTGACGTCAGGCCCATTCTGTCTGCCCGGGCGCGCGGGCCCCGGCGATTGGCCGAGCCGGGCCGCAGTGGGCGGGGCGTGAGGGGGCGGAGCGGGTTGCGTTTCCAGAGGCGGAACCTTCGTCCTCCCTCCGTCTGGGGTCACGTTCGCCGCAGTGGCGAGCGGCCGGGGCTCCTCTGTGGGCGGCGAGAAGTGTGTGAACGCCCCCGCCAATCACGTTAGGATTTCCGCCGCAGCTTGGCAACCCGGGCGGACTTCCGGGGGCGCCTGAGGCCTGGGACCCAGAGGCCGGAAGTCGACCTTTCCCGGCGCCTCACCCCAGCGTGCTTCCGGGATCCTGGGGATGCTCGAGGGCGCCGCGCCGCGCGGGCGTCCGCGGCCCCGGGGGACCGGGGTGTGTGGAGACTCCAAGTCCAGCCGCGCTCCGTGTCCTAATCACCTCCTCGGTGGCTTAGGCTTCGCGTCTTGTTCCCCAGCTCTCGTAAAACTCTCGTCGCCATCTTCTTTCGGAAAGGAGAGAAAGATCTGACTGGGGTTCAATAATGGGTTCGCGGGAGCTTTAAAAACACTTTTCCTTTGTACACTGTGGATAGCGGTGCCTGCCCGTGGCTTGGCGAGGACCTGGTGAGGTCGCACAGAGGAGCTGGAATGCCGAGTCGCGCCTCCCTCCTTCCCCGTCGAGGCTTTTTCATTCTCATGCTGCCTCAGTGATGCCCTCGGATTCGGGAAACCTCGGGAACGTGCGACGATCCAGGAGCCACGCCGGGCAAAGCGACCGGTGCTGCATCCAGCAGGACGCATTTGCACCCGGCCGGGCAGCCCTAGCCCCCCCCCCTTCCCCTTGGCCTTGGCCCCTTGTTTCCCTTTCTGTCCTTGAGGCTCGCTTTCTGCACAGGCGGTTAACCCGCGTCGGCTCCCAGAGTGGGAACAAAATATTTGGGCAACGTGTTGCGCGCGGCCCTGCTCTGTGGACCTGCTGGCTTGGGCAGTGCGCTCCCACGGAGGGGGCTCGGGTGCAACGCCTCCCCCCTTACCTGCGTTCTCACCTCTTCCTCTCCCTCATCTTCCCTGTTCCTTGCACACACCCTGCGCTTTTTCCTCCCTGCTTCTGCAGTTTCCTCCAACTGCAGTGCCCTCTGCTTCCATAGCAGCTTGCCAGCGTGTTACCGCCCATGCTGAAAAACCCGGTTGCAGTGCTAGTCCCTCCAGGAGACTTCTTCCCTGTTCCCACAGCTCTTCCTCCCCTATGGAGTCTGTAAGGCTGTGTGGCCTTACCGTAGTTATTTGTGTGTAAGTTTCTCCATTCCTCTCTAGGCCCTGAAGGTTGTTGGGATGGTGCCTTATCTATAATATGCCTCGCAAGACAAAAACAAAAAAACCTCATTCGAGAAGCATTTACAGAGTTCTTGTCATGTGCCTGGCCCTACTTTGAATGTCAAGGATGCAGCCGGGGGGAAAAACAATGCCCCCTCTCATGGAGCTTATATTGTGGGGAGAAGACAAACGGCGCTGGAAAACGGCACCAGGTGTTGGACAGGCGGAGTCAGAGTGGACCTCGGTTCAGCGACATCAGTACTTGAATTCTGGCTAAGAAAGAATTCAGAGTCAAGACTCAAACGATAAGAGAAAGTTTACTTAGAAGGTCGCAGCGGTAGAAGAAGTGAGCTGTAGAAGAAATGGGCTCAGGAAACAAGTTCCAGAGGCAAAAGAAGGGCCCTTGGAGCTTAGGAGAAAGAGAGAGAGGCAAGGGAGATGTGCTTGGGGAAAGGGGGTGGGAAAGGGGCGGGTGTGCTCCATAGAAACTGCTCAGTTGGGTCCTCCTTCTGGAGGGTCTTTATCTGGAGGTCTCAGGGAAGGATCCCAATAGATTGGTCGGCACCAGGCCAGGGGGTCATTAGTGTAGCTGGTGCTGAGGTCAGCCATGGTGGTGCTGCTTTTT